AATAAAGACTTTCTAAGTTTGGGCGGAGCTCATCAAAGGAAATAAAAGACATCAATGACTTATTAGTTTAGCTTCTTAAAACATATGGAAAACACAATGCTTTGTATTTAAATGCAAATAAGATAAGGGATGCTTATAGTATGGTTTAGCAGTTGTGAGGATACGTTCAATTCTCTGTAACGGCAGCAGGCTCCCATTACGATACTTGGTCTCCTGAGTCTAAATAGTAGGGGCGCTGGTGATGCACTGGTTAAAGTGCTTGGCCACTAGGCTGCTAACCAAAAGGTCTGCAGTTTGAACCCACCAGCCACTCCTCGGGAGAAAGATGTGGCAGTCTGCCTCTGTAAAGATTTACAGCCTTGGAAACCCCATAGGGCGGTTCTACTCTGTCCTACAGGGTCGGTATGAGTCAGAATCGACTCGACAGCACTGGGTTTTGGTTTTGAGTCTAAATATAAGCCTCAACGATGAATGCTATCCTGAATCTTTGCACAACAGCTAGATCCTATCATGTGCTGGTAGTACTGCCCTCAAGTGTATTAGAATATTTTGCATGGTAAAACACCATCAGTCTTTTTTTTTTTTTTTTAATGAGAAGTGAATGAGTGCGTAACTTCTAAAAAACAAAACCATAAGGACTGGGCAAAGAGAAATGAAAAGTTTGGGGATTTATAGGGAAGGAGGTTGCATTCTTTCATCAGAGGCCAAATACATTGTTATTACGGCTGCTAGAGGAAAAGAGAAAAAAAAAAAAAACCTCCGAGAGGGAAAACTTTTTAATAATGATCCCATGAAATCTTAATTACTAGTTTCATATCTCAAATCTTATCTCCTTTTTATCTTGTCTTTCAAGGTTCTTTTTCCCTCAGTTCACTGCATCTCATCAACAGATGTCAAAGTAATCTCAATCCAGCAAATTACAATTAAATAGCAAGAGTTAACAATTAAAATAATACCTCAACCCAGATGAAACATAACATTAGTATTCTAAAATGCCAGTGTGGGAAGAAGTTTTGGTTTCAGGAAGCAGCTGATTCTACAATATGTACTGTTAACCGAGCAATCCCATCTGAAAACGTTCTAACATTTTCCTTAAAGAACCATACGCATAGCCCTCTATTCGACTCTTCTCATTTTAATTTCCTTTTATGCTCATCATGCAATCAGGTAATAAATCTGAGTTAGCTCTGTATTTTATTATTTGTAACTGCATTTTCCAAACATACTTTAAATGCCACATAGGAAAAAAAAAAAAAATAGACCCCACTGCTTTTGACCTTCAACGTGCTGGTACCCTGCAAACCAAAATACATTTTTAATTAAAATATATTCTCAGTTAATTAACATATGGAAGAACAGTGTGAATCTGAACTAGAGAGTATAAAACAACCATTCAAATACAATTGCACTGCAATCTTGAATAGGCGATAAAGACTTACTTCCCATAATGTTCAATCATTTTCATGTGCATAGTTCTGTTTTTCTAACAAAAATCTATGTCATATACGTACTTTACTTCAAGAGTTCTCTCTTCCCTTCTCATCAACATCTGAACATACACTTATAGACCAGACACACACAAGCAAACCACAGCTTTGCTCTTTGCTCTCTACTTGGCATGGGCGAGAGGCGACATAACCTGTTTTAGTAAAATGGGGATAATACCATCCTGAAGATTTGTTGTGAAGATTAAAGACAGTGTAAATAAAATGACCTGGCACACAGCAGGCATTCAATTAATGACTCATGTTTTTGTCATATTAGGGGGAAGGGGAAAGTAAGAATCATTTTGTCTCCTTGGACTAGTCACATTGCCGCTCTAGTAGTTTCTTAATCTATACAACTTTAACAATGATGTTCCAAGGACCACCCTTCAGTTTAATTTTACATCGATAGATTATTTTACTAGTGAACTGAATCAACAAAAGGTTAATTCAGCAAGTTGATAAATTTACATTCAAGATAATTTTTCTCATTCTCAATAACGTTACTTACCAAATGTGAAAAAAATTAACATTTAATTTTAATTTATTGGTAGCCTCTTCTCATTATCTTATTCAGAACTAACACTTTCTAAAGCCACATTTATGGATTGTCCACCTGCAATTTCCCATCTAAGACATCATCTCACAGATTTTTTAATTTAAAAATTCCTACACATTTAAAAACCTTAAAATCTATGTATGACTATTAAAAAGGTGAAACAAAGGAAGAAACAGTCATCCTCACACCCGATCTAAAATCAATGGTCTCAGTTTAAAATAGAGAGAGAGAAAAAAAAAAAAAAAGCTCCCATTTTATGTTCACTATACTTTGTAGTAAATGATATTCTACAGTAACAAAAAGCAATGGAACTTTAATAAAGTTATTTAAAATGTCCATTTCTATGTACAGTTTTGATATTCAATGTTTAGAATCCCAAAACTTTGGAACATATGTTACAGCAATTCTATACCACTACAGAGCCTTAAACGATGTGGGCTCTTTAAACACTGGATGGCCCATGGGGCCATCAGGCATAATAATTCATCTCAAAAGCTATTTGTTCATCTGCCTTGAGGACTCAAACATATTACATCTTGCAAACTTATCTAATATAGTCTTACGGGGAAACACCATGGAAAATATGTTCGACTGTTTTACACAATCAACACCAGAAAAGCCCCTATGCTTTATTTAAGTTCCTTTTAGAAACAGGCAGATATCTAGCCGACTGTCCAAATGCCAACACACCACACACGACAGTCACTCCTGCAAACAATAAATTCTCACAGCTATCTTCCTAACTGTATAAATATAGCAATAAAAATTTACTAATACGTAGGTTTCAAGCATTTAAACTTGTGACATCCTCTCCCACACACCTCTATCTAGTCTCTAATGTAAGTTAATTATAAACTATTTTGGAAAACATACTACTGCCTTCTCAGGGTTAAAGAGACAACAGCTATCTTGGAAACAAATAACAAAGTATCATTTACAAATCATTTTTTCTTTTATTTCTCTTGCTCTTTTTTTTTTTTTAAGTCCATTTAGGCAAACATTGACAAATACTAAAAATAATTTGGATATCCTTTGGAAGTAACTAACATTTAGAAGACATATAGGGTAGAAGTTATATTAGGATTTGTACTGGAGACTCCATGGTTAAGATACAGAAGCTCTATTCCAAACAAACAGTTTGAACAAGCCACATTTACTCACTAAATGAAAAGGACAGATGAAATCTTCATAATTCATAATTTAACTGACAAAAGACAGCATCTTTCAGAGGCCATTCACACTTTAAATTCATAAAGCAGTCATTAGCTAGGTATATTATGGCCACCTAAGTAGCAGGTGACCATAAATCCAAAATTATGATCAGGCCAAGTCTTTGGTTCATCCTGACATGCTAGAATATAAAGGAAAAAACACATAAAAGTTTCATACTAGCTAATGTATAAACATGGATTATATAGCCACACAGATACATATTTTTAGGGGAGACAGATCTTCCAAAGCAAATATCATGGGAATGTTACTAAGCAAGATTAATTTCTCAGAGAAAACTGCCGAAAGGAAATTCAATATTTTAATTTACATTATCTGATTATCTCAGTTGAGACACTAAACCTGATCATGTGTACAAGCAAGTTAACATTCTTAATACTGACTGAAAGGACAATTCACAATTTAGATCTATTATCCCTTTCCCGCATCTTTTTTTTTTTTTTAATGTCAGCTGCTCAAATAATTGGTCACTACAGAGTTTCTTAAGAATCTCTCAACTCATAACATTAACATACTAGGAAAAGAATCTAGCACCGCAGAGGAAAGTTAGTTGCCAGGGAATGGATCATAAAGCTGGGAATGGCTGGAACATTGGAAAGGGTATACAGCAAGGTGCCAGAAAGAATACGGACGTTAGCTCTTACAGTATGGAGAACAGGAAAACATTTCATATGTACTCTTACCGAAGACAGCAGCCCGTTGTCCCTAGATTAATTGTCGCCTGGATTCACTATCAAATTTCTTGTTGATAAGAAAGAATTCTAAACATTCCATGACTGAAAAGCACACAGACCTCTTGGTCTCACTTTAGCAATTCTCCTTTTTCTCTCTCTTTAGGTTTTCTTTTCATAACATGCCTGAAATACAAGTAAATCCTATTGATTTGACAGCGCCTGAGCCGTTAAGAGAAACTTCCCTATCAAGACTAATGAGCCAGACAAAAATTAGACATACTTCCCTTTCCTCTCTACTTCTTCCAATAAACTCCCCTCTCTAGTTTAACTACATGTAAAACAACCAGAATCACATTAATTATTAAATTACAGACTACACATCAGACAAACCATCATGATTACGTAAAAATTACCTCTAATTTATGCAGTACAGTATGCCTGGCTATTTTAATACTTCACAATTATCCTTTTCGCCTCTTCTCTCCTTCTCCTCTCTCCCCCACAAGAAAGGAATCTTTGCAAACGGAAAGTCAGATTAGCGGGTAATTTGGGAAGAAGGAATCTTTAAATTGGCTACAACAGCTCCATCAGCCCCGCATTGAAAATGACACAAGCATGCACACTGGCACGCGCGCACCCCTCCCAGACACGCGGCCCCCGCGCCCGGGCGCGCCCGCGCGTGCGCCCGCCCCATCCCGGGACGGCGCGCCCAGCCGGCCGGTGCTTGCCCGCGTGCTGCCCCGCACCGCCCAGGTCGTTCAAGCACACTTCCTCCTGCCCGCGTCCAGCCGCTGGCCTCCCGCCGCACGCAGAAATCAAAGGGATGCGGCTAATTCCTGACCAGCCAACTAGCGTTCCCAGAGAAAATGCAAGCGCCGGCAGATTTCCTCTCGTTCTCCTCCGAGGCTCCAGAAAACGCGACTTAGCAGCGGCCGCTCCGCCCGGCCTCCGAGAGGAGAGAGCCCCGGCTCGGCGCGGCGAGCCGATGCTTCCCCTCAGGACGCCCCACCCCGCCCCGGCGCGAGCTCGGTTTGGCGCCGAAGCTCCACTTACATTCTGTCGGACACTAGCAAGCGGCTCTCGACCATCATCTCCGGGAGGAAATCCAGCTTGAAGGAAGAAGTCATGTTCTAGGGCGCACGCGGCTGCGCTCGGGCGAATGGGAGCGGCTCTGCGCGCGGCCGAGTCCGCTGAGGGCTGGCGCGAGACAGGCAGGGACAGGTGCGCGCGGCCTCCCCTCGGCGGCCGCCCGAGCCGGCAGTTGTCACATTCTCTCTCCTCGCGCTTTCCTCCAATCCCCTCCGAAATCCAGTGCTGAGGCAACTGTCTGCGGAGCGCCAGGTGCTGCGAGCAGAGGCGGAGCTCCGCGCTCGCCGCGGCGGCGCTTAACCCCTGCGGGCCCGCCCGCCCGAAGAGCTCGGCGGCCAACCCGCCCGCCTCGGCCCAGACCAAGCGGCCGAGACCCGCGCTGCCTGCGCTTGCCTGTTCTGCCCGGGAGGAGCTGAGGTCACCATCTTAAAAGTAGCAGTACTTTCGTAGGTTCACAGAGCATCCAGAAATGCAAACTAGTTCATTGTACTGACTTTGTCCTGTTCTACTAAATTCTCCATTTCCACGGCACATGGCACATAGCCGGAATAACCACTTTTAGTAGGTTTAGTGCAACTATGTTGCCAAAGCCTAATTCTCTTCCAGAGGAAAACCAAACTCCTAAATCAAAGCCACAAGAGAGTGCATGATCACGAGTGTTTGTTTAAATGTTCCTCGGTATGATATGCTTGCCAGTATATGAACTAACAGTAATAGCTGAACAACTAAAATAGCATTCATTATTTAGCCAAAGTAAATATTACATAAATGGCCCAAGCAACATTTAGGGACTTATCTCAGTGCTTTAAGGAGAAAAATGAACCAGTCTCTGCACAATTATATTTCCTTTTGAATCATCTTGGAAACACTGAGAAGTATGTAATAACCCACTGCCGAGGAGTCGATTTCGATTCATAGAGACCCTGAAGAACAGAATAGATCTGCCCCTTAGGTTTCCAAGGCTGTAAATCTTTACAGAAGCAGAAGCAGCCTGTCACATCTCTCTCCCGCGGAGCAGCTAGCTGGTGGGTTAAGCAGCGGACCTTTCCTTTAGCAGCCAAGCACTTAACCACTGTGTTACCAGGGCTCCCAAGTATATAAGAAATAAAGTAATCATGTTTTCTTTTAAAACAATAAATAACAAATTTGTCATTTTCTAGTATTTAATACAATGATTAAAAACCAACAGAGTGACTTTACGAAAGAGTGCAATATCTACAATGCAACGACCCTGAAGGTGAAATAACCATTTAAGATTTGTGACTTATTTACTAATAGGAATTGATAAAAATGGCAAAACTCTTATACATGAATAGAAGCAGGTGAGTTTAATTTTTCCAAGTGATTTGGTAAAGTTCTTGAAAAAGTGGTAAGGTGATACTCTAAGTATTTTCGTTATTGTTTGTTTGGTTATGTGGGTTAAATAGAACTTTTCAGAAAGTAGTCAAAACTGTGTAAAACTTCTTTATGGCACATTTCACATTCTAAATCAACAGCATCAATTGTACACCAGGTGTTTGTAGTTCATGTCTTACAGTAATCACTTTTTATTTTGTAATGACATATATATCTGAGGGTAATGTATATGTGTACATTTGAGTGTATATATACGTATACATTTATCGTGTGTGTGTGTGTGTGTGTGTGTGTACAGACATATATTGTGTTTTTTTCCGAAAAATCTGATTTTCACTCTGTTGTTTTAAAATATTCTAAAGACAATCGGATAGAACTTTGTACAAGGGAGCTGGGCTTCCTCCTCACGATTAAAGGAGTGCCTGGGATATAGTCTTGGTAGTTAGAGAGTTAAACAACCAAGTCATATGTAATTAAATGTACCAGCCACCACAATATGGAGAAAAGATTGTTTTTTATTTTTTCTCACCAATTTCTCTGTGATGATGAGAACCGACCATCTTTAGAGGTTATTAAGGGAAACAGATATTTACATATCATTTTAAAATCCAGGCTTGATACATTGAGCAATTTGGAATAACAGGGCTAAAATATTCAATTAACTCCATACATACTTAATTGATTTTGTTTCCTTCTTCAACTGAACAGTAAGATAGAGGTAGGGCTAGACTAACCTTTATTTTTAAAATATTGCCTTTCCTGAGGAACCATGCGTAGGTTCATGAGGAATTGAGAAACAGATGGAATAAAATGAATTCTTATATTCATAATTTCCAAATGACTCCTAACAATGCTAAGCTGCCTTTACTACCCACACCGGATACTGCTGGCTGCCTTTGACATTATAAGATTTTTTTTTTTTTTTTTGTCTTTCAATAATCTTAATAAAAGAATTGACTGAATAAATTAAGACAATCCTCGACAGTCATTGGTTTTCTATGTATTATTTATATAAATCCCTAATATATAATGAGCAGGCTATATAATAAATTTATTTTAAGAAAGAACAAAACCGGCCTCCAAAACAGAAGCAAAACATAACTGCATTAATCAAAAGAAAAAATATTTTCAAATCAGCTATGGAATAAAGCTCCATATTAAACATCTGCATTCTATAAGGTAGAAAATGCTTCATTAACATGTACACTTCTGAAATATTTATTTTCTCTCTAATTGCATGTGAATTAGTTGGAAGAAGCTGTAGGGAAGCCCTCTTACTGACTTAAGCCTTCTCAGCAGTTTGTTAAATTCTAGCCTCAAATCCCTTGAGGCAATAGTGGATTCAAAGCAGCTTTTAATCATACTATAAGGAGAGTGAAGTAGTATGTAAGTAGGTCATAGAGAAAGAATTACAAGTGCATAGGTTATTGCCTTATTAAACAACTACAGTGTAACATAGTTTTCAAAGCACATTTGCTTTTACCATTTAAAGTGAGAAGGAAAACCAGGGTCACATATAAAAGAAAACCCTACATAGGATACTGTGACGTGAACCAAGGAAAGCTTATGGAGTGTAGCGGAATTTAAATAGTTTGGCTGCTAAATACGTAATGTAGTGATTGCACAGGCCTGAGGGAAACAGAATACACACACACACACACACACACACACACACACACACACACACACCCCACTGGGTTTTCACAACAGTCTTCCAATTGTAGCTTTCATTTCTAATATCTGTTCTGTTTCTATGATCACAGCACCAACACAATAGCCATGTTCAAAAAATACAAATCTCAAACGCTCTTGAGCTGAAAAACAAAAAACACCCAACCAAATACTACCTGATGAAAAGCCTAAATTTCTCATTTCACTGCTTTGGCAGGAGGAAAAAAACATTTTTTAAACAACTCGATGGGTTCCCTTTTTTCAGTTTTCATGCAGTAATGAGCCATCAGGTATCATGTTTTGGCAGTTGGAGTTACTTGGCAGACAGCTTCACTGGGCCGCTGTTGAACACTCAAGTTCAATGAAGATATTTTATAGCCAAGGATCTTATCAACAGCAGTGAAACGGGAAGGGACATCAACAGGCCCCTCTCATGGACATGACCTGGTTGGTAACACCACTGTATGCTGACATCACTGGGGATGGAGCTGTTGGGAATAATGAAGTTTCCGTATAGTTTTAGGCCCACTGTAGAAAAACCTTAAGCTCTTCCCTAGTCCCATCCCCCTACCTTCCCTAATTGTCTCCTTTTTTTAATCAACTTGCTATTCATTTCCCAAACAAAAGGCAATTCAAGAATTGGAAACACTTCAAGGGAAAGTTTCTGAATGACCTCATTTTGTATGAGGCCTTCCAAGGCAAGAGAGTGCACTGTGCTCTCTGAGTTACCCGCTTTCCTCCTCATCCCTCATCTAATATTGAGTTTTGTCCAATGGCCATTTTGTGAGCAGTGAATTATCACTAGCGTTTAAAAAAAAAAAAAAAAAGTAACTCTCCATAAAACTAGGGTGCTAATAAATGCATTGTCCATAGAGTGCACCCTGCTTGAATTGGAAGTATCCTTTTCCTGTCACCCCACACAATCAATGAATCAGAATATAGTCCATTAACTATAGATCTTTCAACATTTTTGCACCAACTTATACTATAATTTTGAGATTGTACCTGATATATAGTGATTAAGGTTGATTACCAGTTAATTTTCTTCTCCTGCAGACAACCCTGTATGTTTATGACAAATTTCCATTTTTTATTTTTCCTAAACATTATGTCACAATTAGCAATCTCTTTAAAGGCGTTAGATTATCAGCAGTGCAACTACGGAGCAAAGATGTACCAGTACTATTCAGCCTACTCAAAAAGCCACCTTCACTAAAGGATTTTTTTTTCCCCTCACTTTTGGCTCATCATTACAAACCAGAATCCAAAACATCTTTCCCCTATCACATTTTCAAATCCAAATGTTATTAACATAGCTGTTTCAATTTAAAAAAATTAAAAAACAAAAAAACCCCAATATGCTCATAGCCATTTGGAACAAGAAATATAGGCCCTATACGGGAATTTCCCATCATTTCCAGCCAATAAATTTGAAATCCACATGAATTTTAAGTACCCGAGAGAGTATCTGACTTTGTGGCCACGTGCTGGTTCTAGGCTTGTTCCAGTTTCATTAGCAACTTGCGAAAATAAATGATAGTGTTCTTTACGTGCTTAAAAAAACCCAAACAGATCCTTATGTGAAACATTGTAAATATATCTTTGCTTAGTTTCTTCAAGGTGTCACTTAAAAAATAATATTTATATTGCCAATCATAAGTTTAAAACGATCATCTCATTTTTCGCCCATTTTGAAAGCTTCCAGGATGGTGACATTATCACATTTCTAAAACAATTAAGCAAAATTAAATGTCAAATAAATGTCAAATATACTCCTATTTTCCATTTTTAAGGGGACTGTAAATAGTCAGTCTCCCCTGAGAACAGTTTTTACTGGCTTTGTGCAATCTTGCATTTTCCTGAATCTGTTTTTAATAGAGCAAAAATACATAATTGTGAATTTATCTTCCTTCTGAAGAGGCCCTCAAACTGAAGACAGTTCTTTGTATACATACCTGAGCACACTGAAATGAGAAGCACCTCTAGTGTTTTCAGAAGCTTCCATTCCAAGGGGATGAAATATTAATACTGTGGATCTCTCAGACCCGGAGCCCAAGCATCTCATCACTTCCCTCTCTAACTTGCCTTTTCCTTTTTCTCTTTTCTCCATTATACACTTGCCGCCTTCTTTTCTTTCTCGGTTTTCTTTTTCTCCTTTTTCCCTCTTCCCTCTCAAATGGGAGCCAGGCAACTTCAGAAGCTTCCCTTTAGA